TATTTTATAAAAATTCATCTGAAGGAAACTTCCCCATTCCTGCGCCATTTGAAATGTTGTCAATTCATTGGTGTGACTGGTGCGACGTCTTATTCTCAACACGCCTATCGTCCTTGAACTGACCAATCACACTGCAACACTGCAGAATGACGAGGTATCAGAGAGAGATAGCTACAGTTCGGGACTAATACGTCACGACTCCACCATCATATTTGGCTGTTTGAAATATCGAATGAAATATGCTGATTCCAAAACGATATAGATTCGATTCCCTTCAACTTCAACTCATAATATTGATTGTACATCAAACGTCAATCATGATTCGTCGATTGAAAGAGGTTTGCACGGATTTCTTCTCTCAGTGGTCTTTCCCATTGAGAATTCATGAATTATTGAATAACTAATATTTCTGAAGTTCCCAATAATCCCAATCGTATTTCAACACATGGCAACTGTGCTATGGTCTTTTTTTTTCAATTGCATTTCCTCGTTGGACCCAGCACTGGATGAAACTTGTGCGGGGTTAGGAAAGCATACATTTACAAACATCCATGGCCTAACTGGGATTCGAACCCATGCCTCGGTGGGAGTCCCCATACGAACTCAGCGCCTTCGCGCTCTCGACCACCGGGCCGCCCCCTACTTATAAAAAATCAGTTTTTACTGGCGGTAAAATATCTAGTCGGTTTATAATTACCGTGGCATTATTGATGATTTTAGCACCTAAAAATAAACTGAAAAATTCTAAAAAAATATCGAATTGAAAGGTATTTGAGTGATGATTCTATCTAAGAAATGAAAAAAAATTAGTCCACTCGCCTATTATTCAAGGCGCGCGCCATACCACCAATGGTCGTCTATTACTAATTATTACTCCTGGCTGGCCATGAAATCAACAAAACTTCGAAAATGTGTACATGGATGGTGTTTTTTATGAATTTATACCTTTGAACTTGTTTCTGTGGCAATACCTGTTTTTCAAAATTCCAAATTTCCCAACTTTTTCCCCACACCATTTATGTCAGGTTGTATACAGGTCATTCAAAAATATTTCTATAATGGTACTTTACGAACTGTAAAATATATTTCACAATATTTTTTAGGCACAAATTCAATCTGTGTTTCAAAATTCCGTCTTTTTCAAAAATCCATGAAAAGGGGAGGTCTTAGGAGATGATTTTTTATCCTACAAAATATTGGGACATATGCAGCTTACAGAGTACTCAGATTAATACATTCATGGATCAATCTCCAATCCATGTAAAGTGCATCCCATTTTGGTATAGACTGCCAGGTTTCTCGGTTGTTATTGAAGAAAGAGCCTTGCGTTTTTCACGTTCCTCACTATTTTGTGAAACTCAAGATGACCTGATTAGATTTTGCATAACTGTTTCTGTTTATGAGATACAGGGTGATTTTGAAGATTTATACTCCTTAGATCCCTTCTATATCCACGTAGTTATTAGGAATGATGTTGTGCTAATAACTATTTCTTAACAGATAATTTTGCGCCTAATCCAGTGGCGTACTGAACATTTTTTTCGGGGTTTGGTTTTTCAGATATGCCACGAAATTTGCTGCTTTTTTCTATTCAAAATTATGTATATTACTTTCCAGAAAAGCTGGAAAAACACAAGAATATAATTATGATGATTTTCTACTAGTGGATTATTATGTGTGATTCATTATATACTATATTAATTAAATACTTCTTATATGTATTATGAATTGATGTATTACTATTGATTTGTTGTTTTTAGGTTCCTACGTTTCTTGAATCACATTAGTGAATTAGAGTTAGTATATTTTTTTGCCTTATTTCTTTATAAATCATCACAAATGAGAATACGTCAAATAATACCTTATAAATATGAAAAATCCACAGTCCACCGGAAAAATTTCTTATTATTTTAATGTTTCAGTTTTTTTTAGAATTTCTGGAGATCCACATATATCATTTTGAAGGCGAAAATATAACTGACTCAACGAAATAATGAAATACAGGGTAGAGTGTTCCATTAAAAAATATATAAGTTCCTGTCGTATCTCCAAAACCAAACGCTGGAAAAAAAAAAGAGAGTACGCCACTGGATTCTGCGCGAAATTCTCTGTTAGTCAGTTCTCAGCGCAACATTATTCCTTATAACTTCGTAGATATAGAAGGGGTCCAGAAAGTATGTATCTCATAAACGGAAATAGTTATGCAAAATCTGATTCAGTTTCACAAAAAAGTAGGACAGGAACGTGAAAACTCCGCAAGGCTCTATCTTCACTAACAACCGAGAAACCTGGTAGTCTCCCAAAATGAGATGCGCTTTACATTTTGTCGGGCAGTTCCGGAATTCTTTGGGAAGTCTCGGTAGTATTTGAAAAGTCCAAGAATTCTTCGGTAGTCCGTGAATCAAATTTGGCCCGTGATATTGGATTCTCCTCCACGTACATTTTGAGAGAGCCGCTTTTTTTTCAAGAATTCAAAAAAGAGACTTGGAAGGTGAATTTATGCCAAACCAAATACTGTGACATAGCTTATGAAGTCGGTATCCTTAGACTCCTTAGAGGAATACATTCATGGAAAAATATACATTACAGAGACGTTACTGTTTTTTTTTTAATTTCAAAAAGGATCGTGGAGGGTTTATTTTTGCTCAACTAATTATTGTGATATACAGTGTGTCTCATTTTAAATGCCTCCCCCCTCCATATCTCAGCTATTAGTTGTGCGATTTTCACCAACTTTGGTAATATAAATAACCATCAATATAATCAGTATTTCAGAGACGAACATAATTTTGGACATTGCCGTGCGTTTTTATTAAAATTAATAGGGGTCAATAAACAGTTCATTGTACCAGTATATCACCTGACGAAGATACTGTGTTAGGGAAACATGTTGTGTGTTTAAGAATTTTGTGGAAATCTTATCGTTTGTGAAGTTTTTACATTTGCCATGGATTTCCATCAAGTAACGGCCGTGTCAAGTCAAAATTTAATACATAGGTATTCATATAAATTGTCAATCTATTATATTTACTAGGAGATTACACAAAAATAATACATACATACATTCAATTCTACATTTTTTAACCTGAACTTATGCCAAAGATTATGTGATTCATTTGAGAGCTTGACCAGCAATCAGATCACCGAAAGGTTGGTAGGTTCGATGCCCGGCTGAGCAGAAAATTTTTATTTATAAAACGAGATACATTCTAATTTTCGTAGCCTCGGCCGAAGATATTTCCGCACGATTCGCTCGATCAAAGAGCTTTCCGAAATGATGTGTGACTCAACCCACTTTCCCTATCAAAATTTCAGGTGATGTTCACCCCAATGCTCGAAATTTTGAGAAATGATGTTGCAAATATGGAAAAAAATATCCCTCCCCCCCAAATTAGATAGTTTTTGTTGGGCCATCTAGTATTTGACCACCCTATACAAACATTTGTGAATAAATATGATGAATGGTTACCTATTATAGGTTCTCCACAATTTTCCTTTGAATCCAGTAACTACTTAGTTATTGTAAGATCCATCATTTAAAAATTCCGAAGGGCGTTAAATTTTTGAAAATATTCTGATAGGTAGATTATGATAGATAGTTGGGGAAACTTTAGAGAATTAGCAAATTTATGCTATTTTTCAATTGCATGGAATGTTCGTTCACAAATGCCAAGAAATCACCTCATTGTACTTTACCATAAGGATAAATTATGCATAAAAATTGAAGATCCCAAATATTTTGATGTATGCTGTACATTGGACAATATATCTTCCTGTTACTAATATTTCAATCATACGTAAAGAAGGTACCTAAGTTGTAACTCGAGAAAGACATCAGAAGCAGAAAAACAGTTCATTGCACTCCGATCGTTAAAAAAACTCCAAAAATATACCGGATGATTTACGATTTACCAGTAGAGTAGTAGATCACTCTTTAGCTAGTTCATTACTCCTCTCATGGCAAGATGATTTTTCCCTTAATGCCATTTGGTCCTTGGTGGACAACCTCTTGAAAATAGTTTTAATAGCACAGGGCGTTTTATTGGTGGGTTTTGTATGAAATGGACTTTTATCTCAATACCCTGTCTGATAAAATATTAGGATTTCGAAATGTTGTGCCAAGACATCAGAAGAAAACGTGTTTTGCAGGTTTCTACTTTAAGCATAGAGATTCTCTCGTTCATTGAGAATAAGGAAAAATAAGAAATTTAATAACTCAAGGGATGCACATGGACGTGAGTATGCAAAATTCCTGAAACCAACCAGAAACTCATTATAGCAAAGAGTGATAGATACTTATAATTTTTCCTCAAATGGAACACTCGTAATTATACAGGGTGTTGACGAAATTGGAGGGATCAATGTATGAGACCTGACACAATGAATAGCAATAAAATGTTTCCGAAAACTATTATTCAGCATCAGGCAACATTGCCAATGTCATTGATCGGTGCTTTTGACCTTTAATCAATGATTCACAAATGTTTCTTCCAGAATATTTTTCATTGCGTTTTGTTTGTTAGTCTTCTATTACCCACTTCATTTTTTGCTCCAATTTCGGAAACACTGTATATTTTTTTGCTACATAGATGATTCAATACAAACTTGATGAGACCTGCAAAACATGGATTATATAATTACCCTTGCAGGATATCTTAGATTTTATATTTTGTTGGAAGATATAGGGTGTTCCATTAGAAAATTATGTTATATATAATGAACACCCCTGTGCTAATAACATCTAGAATTATTCTTGAGGGGTGTGTCAAAAATTATGTCTCAAATAATTAAAAAAGATCAGAAAGGAGCATTGGTTGAAATTATTTGAAGCCTGCGCCAAATTTACAGTGCTTGTTTGTTTCCTTCAATTATTATTTAAATCAGCCCATGGAAGTACTTTTTCTGATCTATGAATTGCTGGTAAATGTTGAATGTACTGGTGACCCATTTACATTTTCTTTAGCTGTTTCACTGTTTTATTGATGTTATATTTTTTGTAGCCAGTGAAAAAGAAGAAAATAAAAAGGGAAATTAAGATTCTTGAAAATTTGAGAGGCGGTACAAATATTATTACATTGGAAGCCGTAGTGAAAGATCCTGTATCTAGGACACCAGCTCTTATTTTTGAGCATGTCAATAATACAGATTTCAAGCAGCTTTACCAGACTCTTACGGACTTCGATATCCGCTATTATTTATATGAATTACTCAAAGCTTTGGATTACTGCCACAGTATGGGTATCATGCATAGGTGAGTAAATTTGTACTTATGTTTCTTAAATCTTTATGTACAGGTGTTCTTGAATGTATCGAAAACAGATCTGGCTTGATGCCAGAAACCCATTTTTCTACTAGTTTTTATGGAGTTACTATCAGAGTTAGATAAAAGTAACCTCTTTCACAGCTTCTTTTGGTTTAACGGCCCTTTTAATCGGGTTCAAACGAAAGGACATTCTCCTTTTCCTCTTTTCTTTCATGTGTTATTATAACATACTTGTTTTAATACACATATACATATGGAAAAACATCTATACTCGTATTTTTATTGATCGGTATTAATTGGGGGAGAATCAGTTTTTTCTTTCAACTTGAAAATAAAGCGTCTGACGACCAATGTCTATGGGAACTTCTCTTCCTTAAGTGAGGTATCAATTATTCGTATTTTCGTACTTAAAAGTGGACCACCCTGTATATTCCACATCAAACACTGATAGAACATCCCATGAATATCCGCGGTGCTATCACTGCTATCTGTACACGTTAGGGAGAATAATATATATAATTTGAATCAATTGATTTTACCATTTATTTTTCCTTTTTTATTGAGTGATACGATCAGATCTTTCAACCCTCAATATTTACAGAAAAAAATTTACCGCTATTCAAGGTGCACTTGAAAACAAGTTAGGGGCTCGGCAAAAGAACAACGTCTCAAGGTTGCAATCGAGAGAACTTTTCGATGCCATTCAAATGTTTGATTCACATGGAAATAACCAACATATAACTTACACAGAAAATTCATTAGGGATTTTTTTTTTAACTCTGATACATGGCACAGATGAATTTTTCATTTCTTTCCTTTCTGTTCAGGATTTCACCTGTTGCTTTACCTGAGCAATGGAAATTAAATGTGTGTGCTGGAACCTATGTGTGGGATAATCTATCCAAATTTCCCAGTAGTAATAATGTAATGTATTTATGGTCAGTCTGGGACCTGACGCACTCAGGCTACCCTTTTGAGCCCATTGTGCACCCACTTTTCCTTCATCCTCTAAACACCATGTGCATTCAGGATCCTCCATAATCCCGATCGTGATGAGATGCTTTTTTAAGTGGCAGTGTCCTGTCAGGAGGTCCACTACCAGTTTCAACTTCTTTTTGTTGAAAGCCAAGAAGACATTGGTCCGTCGTTTAAAAAATCATTTAATCAACAAAAAAGTGAAAAAGTACATCGACGTATCCAATTGTTGCTTTGAATTTCAAAAAAGGAGAAAAACCTGGTGTGTACTTTTCGTTGGACCAGTCTGTATGTTTGTATGTATTTGAGGAGAAAAATTGACTCCAAATGGCCTTCAGCCAGTATTCCTACAAATTGAGTTATTCTCATTATGAAATTGAACAGTAGTTCAAGATTTAAAATATCGATTTAATAATCTCTGAAGCTAATTGTATTTAGTTCCACTAGGTATCTTCTTGATTACCCACTTACATAGTGGAAAATAACATACAAGAATGATGGTTATTGTTCAATGTTCATAATTATTTTGAATCAATACAGACCTATATTGGTAGAAATCAAATTTATTTTTAGTGTGCGGGAAAGTGGACTTCTCAAGCTTTCGGGGAGCATACTGACATTTGAATATTTAATAATAATAAATGTTGGCTTTTGTTTTTTTCCGCACGCTATTAGAAAAAAGTGTATCTAACACGTGCGTAAGTGACAATTCCGCACGCGATTGCAGATGGTCGAACGACGCTTAGCTTAGATTTTTGGTGAGCTTCTGTGAGGTGTTCCATACATTTCAAGATGAAAATCTTCTATAAACATATATGCGTGGGAGCTTCGTTTCCGATATACAGGGTTTCAAAGTTCGCACGACCTAAAAATTGTATCGTCCTGTAGATATTCAAGAACGCTCGATAGCCCCAAATATTACGTTTGCAAAATGTACCAGGTGTACTAAATTTCAATTCATTTTTTGAAAAAGGTAGGGAAAAACAAAAAAATCTCAAACTTTGAAACCCTGTATATTGGAAACGAAGCCTCTGCGCATATATGTTTACATGAGGTTTTCATCTTGGAAAAATGTGTTTTCAAGCTGTGAAAATCCTGCTACAAGATACGGAGTCAAAAAATTTAGTTTCATTACAAGTTAATTATTTTTGGCATTCATCTTGAAACCCATACAGTTTGCGAAAAAACAAAAGGGAGCAAAAAGTATCCAAATTGAAGGGATAATCTAAATTGATGTTGCCTAGAACAGAGGCGGTACACTAAAAAGCTCGAGAGGGTTAAGTCGGGTACGACCCTGAAAAGTGTATCATCCTGTAGGTATTCAAGACCGCTCGATAGCCCCAATTATTGCGTTTCCAAAATTTGGTAGGTGTACCAAATTTCAATTCATTATTTTGGAAATTGCAGGAGGAAATTGGAACAACACAAAAACAATCCTTAACTTTGAAACTCTGTATATCGGAAACGAAGCTCCCACACATATATGTTGTCATCTTGAAAAAATGTCTTATGTCAGCTGTTGAGGTCCTACTACAAATAAGACTCACACTGTATAATCACTGCGAAGTGGCGGATTTTGGGGGGGCGTCATTTTTCAATGAAAATGTCTTCTCCTTTCTATGAACGAAAATTTAAGGTTTTTTTTCAATATATTTGTAGTGAGGACATGGGTGGACTGTCAAAAAATGGCACTATGTTGAAAAAATTTTACTTTCAGGAATCTGAATAAGTAATCTCAGATACTAAATCTCTGGATGAAATGAACCGTAGTGACACTTTGTATGTCCTTACTACAAATGTGATAAAATGATACAAATATATAAATTCATAGAAACAAGATTAAAAATCCCAAAACATCTCGAGAAATAAATATTCACCTACTCGGTTCACCTACTTTTCCGCATGGCTTTTGTATTATAGACAATGGGGATCTTTTGGACTAACTAAAGGATCCATGTAACTATTCTGTGTTATGTGTCATTTTGTAGCATTATTATAAAATACTTGTCTATTGAAAACCATTTTTTTCATAAATATGGACAAAAACACTCGTAGAAAAAACATTGTACCCAACTCTTGCGGAGAACTACTACTTTCCGCACTTGTTAGGTAAATAACTATTTGTTTCCTCTTGATATTGACTTTATTGTGAGATCATTTTATGTCAATTCGAAACAAAATGAAAACATGGAACTGCATAATATATAACATAATTATGTGATTGAGTCAATTTGAAGGCATTTGACCTTGAACCGCATCATATACATCAGTGGATAATTATTGTGCATTCAGGGAAACGCGAAACACGCCAAAGTCTAGGAGTGTATACTCCACATGGATGTAATTGAAAAAAGGCAAATAATGTTATTTGATGTTCATTTGTTTCCAATTCAAACATCCTAACAAAATGCTTTCTGTTGTTCCTTGAAATGTCAATGTTTCAATGGCGCAGTGTCTTGTGGCTACCAAGGATGCCATTTTTTTATGGCGTTCGACTTGACAATAAATGACATTATGATAACATTTGATATTTTTCAACTTACTTTTGCGTGTAGCGAAGGTACACGGCGAACACCCACATAAAAACGGGTCATGATGATACCTCATGGGTGGTCGGAAATTCACCAAAATTCTTTTTGTGAAATGAAGTAGAATAGGTAGGACTCCGGCTCTGGTAAGCACGGGGAACCGTTGCCGGCGAGTATCGAAATAAAGCGCTATGCATTTGAATGTTTTTTCGAATTTGTTTATGTTTTTATTATCTCAAGGTCTATTATTCGCGATAGAAAATAACACGTCGCACCACCTGACGGCAGCATATTGAACACTTCTGAGCGGTTCGTTTTGATGATATGACCAATAAGCACAAATAAAAAACAAATGTGAACCAATGAGAAGGTTAATTGAAAAACTGAAGAAAATTGGGTTGACTGGGAGTGTTCTCATGTGGTTCAATAGTTACTTGCAAAATAGGAAACAAAAAGTTAATTTCAATGGCTTTTCATCTGCAGAAGCGGTAAATGATTTTGGTGTACACCAAGGCAATATATTAGGGCCATTACTTTTCTTGTTGTACATCAACGATACTATGAATCTGGGCATTAACATCAATATTCATCTTTTTGCGGACGATACACTAATATATGCATTTTCACGTGATCTATATACCTTAGTATCTGTAATACAATCTGCTTTGGATAAGATTTTCAACTATACATGTCTACTACTACAATACTAACAATAAATGTATCAAAAACTAGACTTATGTTGATCAGAAAAGAAGCAATACAACAAGAGTTGAAAATAAGTAACTATTACTTGCAGATTGGAACTGATTGTATCGAAAAAGTTGAGAAATTCAAATATTTAGGAGTCATAGTAGATCGTAAACTATCATTCCGAGAACATGCAAACTATATAATATCAAAAATGAATCATGGAATATTTGATTTGTCTAGATGTTCACACTACCTCTCATTTTTTTTTCCAAAAAAATTGTTATTTTTGTTCAACAATTCTATATCTTCTGAATCAGAATGATTTGAATAGAATACAAAAATTGCAAAACAGAGCGATGCGTATTATTAGCATGTAATAAGTACACACCCATAAAGGATATGTTGAAAAGTTTAAATTGGCTGCCTATTGAGGATTATTTTGAATTTTTGTTATTGGTATTTGTTTTCAAAATACAAAGAGGTGAAGCACCAAATTATTTGGTGAATAAGCTGACTTATAATATAGAAATGCATCAGCATAATACCAGACAGGAAGAGTACTTCTTTACTTTACCGAGAAGTAAAAGATTGGCAGAAAATTCCGTTTTTTTTTTTAATTGAAACAATATAATGACTTGCCATCTGACGTGAAGAATGCATTTCTATCAAATTATTCAAGACCAAGTTAAAAATGCATTTATTGAAACGAACCAACTCAAACTTTTGAAGATTTTAAATCGTTTATTTTATGTCCTGTATTTTTATTGTACCTTTTGTGTTGATCTTAAGTCTGTGAATTAAGTGTCTAGATGTTCATTGTTCGTTTAGATATTATGACTGTTTTTATATTACATTGACTTGTATATTAGCTTTTGCTGAATAAATAAATATTATTATGAACACAAAGTAAACATGTCGCTTTGACAGCTTTCAAGAACTCTTATAGGTGGCGGACGCTTATTTTCTCCTTGCCTGCCTGCAACAAATAATGTTCAGGTACATGAACGTATCTTTAGACGCAGCGTAAAAAATAAGGTTTGGATATTATGATAGTGTGACTGATTATATTGAAATTTCAGAGACGTCAAACCACATAACGTGATGATAGATCACGAAAATAGGAAATTACGTCTAATAGATTGGGGTCTGGCGGAATTCTACCATCCCGGTCAGGAATATAATGTTAGGGTAGCGTCCAGATATTTCAAAGGCCCTGAACTCCTCGTAGATTATCAGATGTACGACTACTCGTTGGATATGTGGTCGCTGGGTTGTATGCTAGCATCGATGATCTTCAGAAAGGAGCCCTTCTTCCACGGTCACGACAACTATGACCAATTAGTCCGCATCGCCAAAGTCTTAGGTACCGAGGAACTGTTCGAGTATCTCGACAAATATCACATAGAGCTAGACCCAAGATTCAATGATATACTAGGAAGGTAAATCAACTCTTGTTTTTCCTTATTAGCCGTACAATTGCACTGAGATTCTTGTTTTTTTTTTCAGACATTCTAGGAAAAGATGGGAACGTTTCGTACATAGTGAAAATCAACATCTAGTTTCGCCCGAAGCATTAGACTTTCTGGATAAACTATTACGTTATGATCATTTAGAACGCCTTACTGCACGTGATGCAATGGATCATTCATATTTCTGTAAGTTGATAGTTTTGTTTTCATAGTGTACGCTGATCAGGTTGGAGTGGTAATATTTTAGAGGTGACTAACATTTTTCCCAACTACAAGATAGTCAAAATGCTCAAAGTGGAATGAAAGGTTAATGCGAAAAAAACTTTTATCAACATACGAATCAATGCATAGATTTCGAGATGAGGTTGTTCATTTTTTGGACATTTGGCAAATGACTTTGAGCTTTAGAGTTTTGTTACTTTTGTTTCATTCAACTTTTGAGTAATTCGGATTTTCCGTGGAAATAACGCCAGTCGGGTAATCGGCCACTCCCATTTCTTACCAAGATGGGAATTTCAGTTTCGGGTGTTTCTTTCCTTCTGCTCTAGATGTCGCAGTTTACATGTTGCCCTTGAGCAGTGACTCTGAGCATAAAAATGCCGATTGATTTTTCGTTGGGTCAGGTTTCTCTTCTCTGCTCTCTAGTGACTACCCTACACTAATGAGAGCCATGATCCTGAAACTGGTCTGTACCTGCAATATGTATTCGTTTATACGAATTGATGCATAGATTTATAGTGGATGTAATCCAATGTTCTGCGTGGCATTAGCCAAGAAAGATGTTATTCCCCTATTATCTAACATTGTTGTTCATTTTTCGTGAAAATGTTTTTGAGTTTTCGCTTTTCATTTACATTTTCCTGTTGATATTGAGATGAGCGTATACCGAGATTTTCATTTATTGAAGTGGCCAGTCGCCTCCGCCAATTATTTAGTTGAAATTCTAGACGATTCTAGTAGTAGTAGGACATGTTTCGAGCCTATATAGGTTCATCATCAGCTTAGACATCAATTCTACAACATATGAAGAAATGAAAAATCAACGACATTCAATTGAAGTAATTATATTACTTACATGGAGAAGAGATTACATATTAACTAGGTAAAAACTAATAGAAAAACATAATCGAAAGTTAATTAAGAGAAAAAGGAAATTGGGCGAGCCCCAAAATCCCAAAAAACCGACGATTTATAATTTTGGTTTCAAATACAAAATGCTCACAATGTGCTACACGAGTCACGTGTATGTAACTGTGCTATGCCAAAAGAGAATTGAATAAATGAAAGAATCCTTTCAACAATATCAGGCATTGTCTTGAAGACGACGTACGTCCTTCAATTGTCCTATAGTCCCTGAGACGTGAAAATAAGAATATTATAGAATAGAATAGAATTGAAAAACAATGCGGCATTGAAGAATAGAATATTTCTATTAGTATATGTTCTTACAAAACGCGAAAAACGTTCTCCCGTGTTCGGTACGAACGAGCGGTCATAGATTGTTTCGGTGGCAGCTGCTATGTGAAATCAAATTCTGTATTATTTTATTCTCATTGATTTGAACTTGTCTTTCAGATCCTGTAGCAAAAGAGCAGTGCAGAATGATGTCCACCGTTTCTTCATCCCCTACTCCATTGACCGGAGTGGGTGAGTAGCATGCAAAAAAGAAGCACTTCCGATATTTCATGTGCTGTCATATTCTGCCATACACTATTGATTTGAATAATTTCCAAACTTCATATTGTTTAGCATTGATCTGCTGCAGGTATTTCCATTTTATGTCAAGTAATATTCTTTCTAGATTATAATTTTGAATAACTTGCGGTTCCGATCTTGTTCTTGTTTATTTTTTTATCAAACTAGCATCATTCGTATGAATACTTGAAACCGTCTTTATACCAAGTTTATAAAATAGTTGTCGTTACCATTCGCAGAACGAAAGTTATTTGAAATTATCATTTTTCCCTTGTGTATTATATTGTTGAAAGCATTGTTTTGTAATATTGAAACATTTCCAGAATTCTTAGCAGCTCAAATTTGATATAGAAACTTCAAATTTCTTATTTAAGTTGCTAATTATATTCTGTAATCTAAAACAATCATTGAAATTAAAAAGATTATGTAACTATTTATGTTTATTTATGAAAACTCTAATAAGATGTAATAATTATGGTGATGTACAACCTGTTATTGTACAAAGTAATACAAAAATCCTTTGTAGAATATTTTGTGAAATGAACCAAATACTGATAAAACATTTATTTTAATGTTACTATAAGTCTTGAAACATGTATAGAACATAATAGGCGAAGAATTAATTTTTAGATATCTTTTAATAGTTAATAAATTATTGAGTTCCTAAGGTGTACTAACTTTTTTATGACAGTTGTTTCTGAATATGGCATCAAATGAAAATAGAAGGTCTTATCTTTGTTTGGAGCATGTATCAAGATGTTCTATGAAGTATCAACTGCTGTTGTTACATTATTATCAGAAAATCAACAGCTTGTTAGTAATAGTTTTGGATGGACTCTCGAGCTACCAAACTATCCGTGTTGTACTAAAATTTCTTTATACATACGAATCAAGAGGACGAGTAATAAACATTTTTATTGTTCTAACTGACTTTCGTTGTAAATTATCTTTTGCAATAAACTTTATATAAATAAAACGTTGTTATACCTAATTGTTCTTGAGCTGAGTGAAAATTCGCCGGTAATTTGATCATGAGAATACCTTCATCTTTTGTGATGTTCCGAAAGGTTTGAATGAATTTGATGAGTGAATAAAATTGCGTATGGTTCACGTCTTTATTCCACTTTTTGTGAATATTGGAAATGAAAAAAAAATGAGAAGTTCAGCTAGCTGAGAGAGAGAGAGAGAGAGAGAGATCTGTATTGTTCTCAGTGTTCCAACATAAACGATGAAAATTTTATGTTGGCAACTGAAAATGACAAGGAACTGAGAAGATGATCGTAGTAACCTCAGAATAAAATAATATAATTTTCATTATTTTACGTTGGAACCAAAGAATAATAGGTTCTCCTCTTTGTTGGAACACTGAAGACGAAGTGATGCACCTCTAAGTGGTGCATCCACCTGTCTCATTCAGTGCTACACATTCTATTTCACTTGTCTACGCTTTAGTCGTTTTCGGAAACTTAGGCCCTCCGCACACGGGTCGATCGGCGACATGGGCGACGCGATTGCAATGACGTCACAATTTTTGCATTCGTACGATTCAAGAGATGGGAGTGTGTTTCATCCGCATATGGGTCGACGTTTTGTGTAGTCGAGTCGCGTCTGATCAAGTTAGTTACTCTCTTTTTTGCAACTTCAAACAGGAAGTTTTCGCTAAAAATGAGCAGTTTCAGTGACGAGGAGGATATATTCATGTTTTTGTGGCACCGGTAGACCAGGAGAAGAAGAAGAAGCACGTGAAATGCAAGAGAGTGACACAAAATTTCTGGCATTTTATAGAATGTCGAAGGAATCAATGGAATCATATAGTGGAAACTCTTGCGCCAGCCATAAAATATATGAATACAAATATGAGGGAATGTGTCAGCGCAGAAGAACGCATACTAATAACATTGATGTAAGATTCATATATTTCAAAAAATCAAACAGTTCCTAAATTTGAGAGTATAAATTGGAAACATAAGATTATATGTTCTAGTTACTGAGAGTAAAGAACTTGAGGTAGGTAACACAAATATTCACTGAAAAATTATTGAACAACTTTCTCCATTGAGACGCAAGATTCACTCGATCAAACTGCTTCCTTGCTAATCGCGTGAGACTGAAAACGAGGAGATCTTAAATCGTACGTTTTTAGACGACCACTAAACGACCCGTGTGCGGGAACCAAATGCTTTGCTTAGGAAGTCGAGTAGAGGGGAGAACGTCGTACGATTCGAATCGCGTCGCCCATGTCGCCGATCGACCCGTCTGCGGAGGGCCTTACTCGGGTTGATCCACGATCGGATCCCTAACCTGAACGTTCGGTTACCCAAACCGAGATACATACCTCTGTTCGGAAACTTGAATGATGCTAACTCGATCCCTGACTCGGGTTTAATTTTCGTGACCCTAGCCAAAAGTAGAGTCCCTGTATATACCTTAGACAAGAGTCCGGACACAGCTATACTTCTGTCCTTTTCTGTTTTCAAAAAATGCATTGATGATTGAATAAAGGAATAAGACATATATATCGAGCTCTGTCTTTTCAATTTCCCTAGTATCAATGACTGTCAGAAACAATTTTGAGGGTTAGATTATTTGTCAAACCGTTCATAGCCGTAGGTAGAAGTGAGAAATAGGGCTATTTTAACTAGAATAACTATTAAATTTTCAAATAATGAACAACAGGGTGTTCAAATTTCGAATCGATAATTTTCATAATCAATTCCTGAGATGGCTATTGCAAATTTTCGTCATCAGATATTTCTTCACTTTATTAGATATAAGGAAGATAATTTAAGTGTTCTACGTGGTATCACATATAGCCAAGAAAATATAGTTGTTTTCTGTTGGTATATAAAGAAATAAAATATAATAATTTTCTCCGATTCTCTCAATCCAATAACACTCATCAGAAATAAAAGTGACAAAATCAAAACAACAATATATTTGATAGCGAGTGCTTTATTAATTGTGTCGGTTTCCCACCTCTTCCTGCAGTCTACATTCACCTGTAAATATTGAATTTAATAAGAATTAAAAACAGCGTGGACTGACGACGTAGCACATTGCAGTTTTTCTAAATCTTCTAGTTTTGATTTCAAACTTTCAATGTCTTTCCTCATCATCTCACTCTCATTTTCTTTCTCTGCGATCGTATCATTCAGTAATTCCCAATACGCTGACGACGGGAATCTTTTTTTGAACGTCTCTATTTCATAAATTGACGGCACAGCAGACTCTTTCAATTTGAAATCCATCAGCTTGAAAGAATCTCTATCAAAATGGGCCTAAAATTCTTCCTTTTTGTACTGTTTTTACAAGTAAAATTTAATATTTACCTCACATATTGCGGATTTCTTGAAATTAATTTTCAATTCTGGACGTTTCGCATTGCATTCTTCCATAATCAATCGGAAAATTGAATAACTTGAATCCCTTTTCCAATGAATTATCGCAATAGTGTAGGCAGCAGGACATTGAAATAATTTAAAATGCTAAATTTTGGCGGTCATAAAATTTCAAAGTGACAGTGACAGAAATTCGAAATAATTTTAAAAAAGCGGGCGGACGACTATGGTGTTTCGTCACATTATCAGGTGGGCAAACCAAATGAAACAAAATATCAAAAACCCCAACGGCTGTCAGTTTTGTGTCCGGACTCTTGTCTAAAGTATATACAGGGACTCTAGCCAAAAGCTTGGCCAAAAGCAGGGTCGCCAGAGATGCAAAGGACACCGCATGCGCATTACGGAATTTAAGTCAATAAAAAAACGCGGGAGTTTATATTCGACGATAACAATAATAATAAAATAATTTGCATGTTGGGAAAAATCACGACCGGTGATAGGTACATGTTCTTTTCAATCTTCATAATTTGATGTCTTGGGTAGGGGTGAAGTTTGTGGTTATGTGCAACAACACATATGAGACAAGTACACCAATCAACAGGTAAATAGAAATATTTGTAATCACTAATCAGATCAAATAATTACTTGAATATAATGTGACCATTTTCGTCTGTCAAATTCATGAAACCACAGGAAAAATATAACATTCAGTGCTCCTAACCTGACACGTTCGTAAACGATGAACATGAGTATAGATGATCCGAGTTTTTTTAGTCACATGACCTATACCTATCTGGATCATCAACCCAAAGTAAGTTTCCGAAAACGCCTTTTGTCACTGCTTATCGATCTTTGGACACAAAACATCCAACAATCAGACATGAAACTCTATACATCGGTGGATATAGACTATAAGAATTCGTCATTTGGGACTCGTACGTCTCAGATTATTTAGATGATGTAATGAAAATAACTATCTAAACCGAACATCATGTGGTAACTTGCGAAGGCGCAAATTCTTTACCGTAAAATGGTGCGAAATTAGGTGGCGATTTGAAATAACCATGCGCGCTCGAACCCAACCACGTGCTACCATCTTTTTATTAACAGTGAAAGCTGGACATTTTTTGTATATGTAGGAATCTATAATACAAATCATTTTCAGTCGATTGCACCAGAGAGAGAATAAACGCTTGTTTTCCTTCTGTTACTACTTCCAGTTTATGTATGTCTCCGAACGAGGATATTTTTCGAAATTTTTTTTTATTGCCAATATACTTGATTACAGTATCCTAACCAGAGATTTGTGTTAATTTTTTCGTTATCCAGTGGCGTACCATTTGATTTTTTTAAATTACTGGGGCGACTTGAAATATAGAGCTTCAAAAAAAAACCTGGAGCGCAGAACTATCAGAATTATAGTCAGGAGTCTCTGCATTTGGCTGTTACAGTTTACAGGAAAGGAAATGGAAGCCTGATGATGGCAATGTCAGAATGCTCTGGAATTCCATTGGACTACCATTGACAATAATCTGAAACTATGATATTTTATACTTGGTATCAGGTATCATCTTCAACTGGCAAAACTCAATTATTTTTTTCAATTTTCTTCATTCCATGTCGCCTCTATGCGACTATATCTGGAAAATTATCCCGAGAATTGACGATTTTCCATGTCGCCCCAGAGGGCGACTTGAAATATCAACTTTGAATTTTTTTTCACAAAAATTGACCAGGCATTGAATTCTGTCGATGGCTGCCATATATTCCTTTTGGTCCAAAGTAATGTATCATGATTTTTATATGTACTCAATTATCGTATTCGACGGTTCAGGGCCAATAATCTGACGGAAACATTCCAAGTCGCTCCTTTTTACGGTACTGCATGTGAGATATACCCTTCCGAATTTCACCTATTCAGTGACTTGACCTCGAATGACATTCCGGAAACAGTAGCCATGTTGAGGTATGTCTATTGTCGCCACTCTATTTAATCTATACTCACTCTATAGGAAAGACATTTTTTCTCTCAACGTTAGCTCAGCTTCTCTATTATACCTATAAACGCCTTCCCATCATCTTCGATATTCATTT